GGGAAGTGCTGTAGGCACCTTTGTGCTGGCTGTTGGCTAAAGAGCTACCCTTCTGCTGGTGCTGGGTCTGCCACTGGGGTGGTACAGAGCAGCTGTTTGGAAAGGTTTTGTGTTCAGGCTGTGGCACGTTAGTGGTCTTTAATTGCTGAGCTGTAGAATTGGGATGGTTTATGTTTATTGTTAATGTTTTTCCTAACTTTCTGTGGTTAAAGGTTCTCAGGCTTTATGAATTCATTAGCCATTTGGCCCAGATTTATGAGTTGCTCAGCATTCTTTTTTTGTTTCCTGAAGTCTATCGTGTTTTAGCTTTTTCATAAAAAGGCGAGGTTGGATGGTTGGGTTAACTTGCTATGGCTGTGTTACTAGGAAGTTATTCTGACCTCCAGTGCTTCGCTAAGCTTTTTGAAAGTACTATTTCATTATTGTCTTTGTGGGATATTTCACACATCGTGTCTGTTTTTTTTCTTTCTTTCATAGGAACGAGAACTTAAGGCTGCTGCAGACAGTGTCTTATCTGAAGTACGGAAGAAACAAGCAGACACAAAGAGGATGGTAGACATCCTGCGCGCATTAGAAAAGCTTCGGAAACTGAGAAAAGAGGCCGCTGGCAGGAAAGGTTAATTACGAGATTTTTACCAAACTTTTTAAATTGCGCACACAGGAAATAAGATGCTGTGCATGCCTGGTGCAGCTTAAAAAAGCTGTTTCTTTATTAGTGATTTTAGTTACATTGTTATACAAGAATAGCTATAAAATGCTGAATACAGTGGTTGTGTTCCTACATTTCCAAGCTCTTTCTTGATAGAAGAATTAATTCCAGTAAGATAATTGTTACTGAGATTAAGCTCATGTTCCTCTGAGATTTTGCCAGCTCCACTCTCAAGTCTGATAACAGAGCCCCTTCTGAATTTGAAAATTTAAAATTAATTATCTTTCTGTTTAGGTGTTTGTCCCCCCCTCTCGGCAGACGAAGCATTTGAAAATCAGGTGGAGAGTCTCAAAACATTGCTCAAAAATCGCACAGAGCTGTATGAAGCTGAGGAGAGAGCATTAAGAGTTATGTTGGAGGGAGAACAGGAAGAGGAAAGGAAGAGAGAAATGGAAAAGAAACAGAAGAAGGAAAGGGAAAAACTACTACAGCAGAAACTCGAAATTGATTCCAAGCTGTTTGGGGATCCAGGTATATTCTGCATGCCATACTTAACGGTATTTTTCCACACCACACCCCCATCTCATAGACACTGGCTTTAAAATGCAGGCACAAAAATAGCTGAGAAAGGAATCTTCCGCTGGAGTAATTTATGCTCTGAGGAAAAGGTGGGATAAACGTAGTGTGCTGTTAACACATGTGGTGTAAGAAGAACCGTTTAGCTCTTCAGCGTAGACTGCAGTATATCTCAAGCCAATTTCATGATGTTTTGCAAGGAGAGGTTGTAGATTAAGCTGAAGTGAGAATAAACAGAATAGATTGAAGACTTCCAGCACCCAACAGATGCTTTAGTCTGGTGATTCAGTAAGTGCGACTCGGGTAATCTGTAAAGATTCAGTGTCCATATGTTCCCCTTGTTTAGGGGATGGAGGCAAGAAAAGTTTTGCTAGTCTTGACTTGCCTCTGACAGCTCTGGTAAGGATGAAGAGACGTCCAAAACACGTAAATAGTCCTTAATATATTACATAGGGAAGTGATTTCAAGTTACAGCTGGGGAGCAGCAAATGAGTTGGCAAATTAGGGGCTTCTAAGATTTACTAGAATGGAAGGTCTTTCTGGTTTATTGAATCATTTCTATGTTTGTGTTTTAACAGATGAATTTCCTTTAGCCCATGTATTGCAGCCCTTCAGAGAATATTACTTACAAGCTGAGCATTCTGTAGCAGCTCTAATCCAGATCAGGTAAAACCAAACAAAGTCTTTATTATCAAAGATGACAAGTACTGTTTGTTGAGATTGTAAAATTGTGGTCCCTTTTGGTTCATTAACTTCCAAATGTGGTTATGCAGTGAATTGTCCTGGTTTTTTTCAGCTAAGGATCAAGCTTCTTGCTTGATAGAGTTGTATCCAACAGGTGCCTGTGTCAGGCAGAGTGCATTTCCATGCGTAACCATTCCATTTAATAGAATAGTACATATAATTTTCACATTTGTGTTTTGAAAAGCAACTTTCAGAGTGCAATTTATAATGTTTTATGTATTGATCAGTATGGAAGAATACCTATGTGGGTATATAATAAATCTTACTACCAAACTCATACCAGCTCTCCTCTCAAACAACGCTTTCTCTGTTAAAGGCATGAATGGGATCAGTACTTGGTGCCAGCTGATCACCCTGAAGGAAGCTGCATCCCTCCAGGATGGGTTCTTCCGAGTCTCCCCACAAATGACACGTGGGCCACTGCTGTCAGATAATTTAGTAATAAATTATTTTAATGTTGGAGGAATGTTTCATTATAATTGTGTGTGTAAATATGAGAGGGTCCAAAGAGGAAGTCTCATTCTCTGTTTCGGTAGCCAGGTACTGGAATGTCTTGAAGGAAAGCGTAAGAACTGGTTTTGCCGTCTGACTCTGCAGGGAAAGACCTGAGCAAGCCCAAAGCTGCTAGGCCTCTTGTGGTATGGAATTACAATCCCGCTGCGAGTTTTAGTTAACAAATCTCAATCTTAATAACGAAACATTGCTGACAAGGGTATTTGTGCCAGTATTAACATCCTATTTTTAGTGGCTTTTATCTTTATAAGCCTAAATCCAGATGATGAAGTCTCCAGAAATAAAGAAGTTTAAAAAAAAAGAGAAATCATTAGTAAACATGTTTTTCTTCTTAAATGAAGCATGTCAAGCATCACTGTCAAAATAGTTCCTGTATTTTTTTTGTGTAGAAACGAACCTATTACAAGTTTAAACAAATTCTGAAGTACAAACAAGACAGGGTTTTTCAAGGTTGATTAAAGCAGCTGTTGACGTTTTACTTTTGTGGACTAAAACTGGTACCACAACATGGAAAAAATTCCCAGTTGTGGTGAAATAGGTCAGGCAGCCGTGTGAATATATATAAATTTGATGAATAAGCCTGCTGGAAAAAAACCAATAAAATCTGAAGTCTAACCTACTGTAATTGTTTTTACCTATATAGCTATTTTTGTATAGGGACAGATCGTGTGTATAATATTGGATTAAAAAACGCAGCTCTATTTTGTAAGTTGTTTTTTTTGTTCAAAATAAATAGAGAAAAATGGATTTTTTTTTTTTTTTTTTTTTGCTTGAAGCGTTTTTAGTCTGAGGGAGAGATTTGTTTTAGTACTTGGCATCAAATACGACTCCAGTGTGGAGAGAATTGCTGGCAAAAGGTTTGTGTGAAGGAACTTTGCCCTCCTACAAGGTAACAGGCATCTGATTTCGAAGCCTTCCATGTTCTGGACAGTTTCCTTGAAACAGCGACGGGCCATATGGGTTTGGGGCTTTGGTGGTCTATGCAGATTGCTGTGGCATCTTTCCAGAGCTGCAGTCGTTATTCTTGCTTAGCCCTGATGTGTGAGAATGGATTTAATCTCTCCAATTCCTTACCTCTTTGCATCACAACATCGTGTAATTCATGGAGAAGGCAACATATAATTGCCTAAATTCAACACTTGGGCCTAATACATTAACTAATAATGTTAATAGTTCTTGGCTGAAGCTTTGCATTGATTTCTGTTAGTAAGAGCACACGAACCAGTCATTTTTGCTAGAGTTAGAATTAATCTGGGTGCAGAAGTTTGCAGTTCTTGCTCACGTGTATATTGCTTACCTATAGCACCCCAAAATACAGACTATCGTGAAGTCCTCTGGAGGTAGGGGTTCTGATTTGCACGTCCGTACATCCTCCCATCCCTACTGTCACTTCTAGCATCTCGTTACTCCAAGACCTATGGCTGGGTCCGATCCTGGGGAGTCTTACCTGATGAAAAAGCAAAGTTCAAATAGCATAAAAACAATTGCAGAAACAATTGCTTTCCGTTCAGGAAGCTTAGTGACCGGAGGATGCTCTGCTTTAATAGTTAGGCTCCTTATCCCATCAGCATATCTGATGGGACAGGCTAACTCCTTAAGCTACGATAATCTTAGAACTGTCCAAGTCAGATGCTTGTCTGACACGGCAAGAATTTAAAGGACTGAGCAGTAGATAAGCAGGCAGCAGAGAAGCAACCCTGTTCTCCCTGCAAGAAGAGCTCCATGATTTTGTCTGACGGTAAGGATAACTTCATATTGTTAATAAAAATAGGACTTGAAAATGCCAGTGGATGATGTACGTTTAGGTATGTTTCAATCCCTCAAGCTTTCTGTGGTTTGTTCTACATACTTGCTCTTGTGTAATGACGTCTGAATTAAAATGTTTTGTATTTTTAGTGAGGAAGATGTTGAAGCCACAGATGGGAGAGGAATGTTTAAAGTCTTAACTCATAAAATACATGGAGACAGGGTATTAATTCTTAAAAAATCCTTGCGTATTCAGATTTAAGATTCAAATTTGTCTGAGTATAGTTTTTACTACTATTTTTAAGTTTTAAAAAATTATTATAGCCCAGAAGAAAAGAGGGGTTGGCTATGAGTTGCCAAGGCTCATTTGCATCCTATTCCTTCCCTGGTCCCAGTGCAGTTCAGGTTTCTTGTGCTTTTAAGGCACGTCCTCTTCCTGATGCGAATTTGTTCGTTTGCCAGCCTGTGTCTTTGCTGTGAAAGCGGGCAGGGCCAGCGTGAAGCAGATGAGGTCAGAACCCTTGTAGGAATTGCTTTCTGGTGTAAGTTGGTGTTTACGACTGACCCTCTTTTATTCTTGTCTAGTAGCACTTTCGTTGTCATCGCTCCTCACCCCAATGTACTACGATTTTTTTCTAAATAGTGGTTTTGGGAATTAACACTTGTGGGAGCCTTTCTCAGAGCACAGTATTTATGCGGTGAAGTACAGTGAGATGTGGTACCATAATATGTCCGTATTTTCTTCACCGTGACTTCAGACACATTCACTACCCATCTCCATCCCTTAAAGTGGCATTTAAAACCAAGTAAAGCTGTTCTAGGTGAAGGATGACGAGATACTCTTTTCCTTTGCACCTTTGCACCGCACAGCTTTTGGGAAGAGCTGATTTACAGCGTAAGCTGCGAGGAGGGTCCGTCCCCCTTGCAGGCAGGGGCTGCACGGCCACACGGAGAACTTGGAGAAAGCTGCGGGAAGGTGGCTTCACTTAAAAGATGTTTTCACGTGTTGTCTTTGTCGGTGCTGATATGGATTATAACTTACGCTGAGCCTTCTTAGGCCAGGGAGCAGATGGCCTGGCTCCTTGCAGGCTCCCGACACGTTGCGGGAGCCGCGTGTTAGCGGCAGTACATGTGCGGGAGCCGCGTGTTAGCGGCAGTACATGTGCGGGAGCCGCAAAGCTGGTTAGGGGTTCTGCCTGTGCTCCAGCCCCGGGTATTAAAGGCTCCTGGCATAAGCAGGCGAGCGACAGCTCTTGTAATTCTAGGAGCAACTGAGCTGAACCGAGCGATTGTGCCTGTCGCTCTTCCTTTGTGGTCTAGAGGCAGTTTGTTAGTCCTTTGCTAACGTAAGAAATGACCTTGAATGCCATTTCCCATTATAGACCCTTATTTTTGCATTAAACTAACAGGCAGCTTTCCGCCATACATTCATCTGCTTACTTTCTTTTTGTGGAGTGTTTATCCTCATTGTCATAGAAGCCATTTCTTTTTGAAGGGAAAAAAGATCAGTAAAAGCACTTAGGGATGTCACCAAGTATTTACTGTCTGTGTCCTGGGAATGGCTGCTGAGAGCTGCTGCTTCGGGATGAGGAGGCATGGGCTGCGGGTACCAGAGCTTGATGGATTACTGACCATTAGCTCTAGCCAATTGACAATATATAAAGGAAATTATTTTGCGTGCTGTTGTCGTTGGGAAGCTGAGGACTCAAGGCTTCATGCAGCCGTAGTGACTTTTTACTAAATTGAGACATTTATGCAGAGCTGATGGCTACGCTATTGCAGTAATATTTTCCATGCCGCCATTCCCAGTTCATCAGAAATTTTTTTCTCCCCTGCTATTCCTGATCTGAAAAACATCACTGCACTTAAAATGACTCGATGGTTCTTAAAAAGCTAATCTGGCCTTAAAATGGCTCCTTCGATATCCCTCTAACACCAAAGCTTGCCTGATGCACCAGGTTCCTTGTTTGGCTCGCGGTAAGCTGCTGCGGTGCTGGAGGAGATGCCCTCGCCCCAGCCAGGCTGCTCCAGGTGATGGCTTAGCAGCACGTGGCCGCAGGCATGAGCTCCGTGACCACGGGTGCTCTCAGGTCACGCAGAGAGAGGAGACCTGCGAGGTTTCTGCCTCTGTAACTGGAAAAAACGTTTGGTCTGTTCCCGGCTTGGGAAAGGGAGTGTGCGATGGGCAGCGGAGGGAGAGGGAGAGGCGGGAGGAGGGAGGGAAAGCAGCGGGGCATGCATGGAGGTGAAAGCAGAGGAGAAAAACGCTCAGGATCTCTGCCAAATGAAGCTGTAAGCTTGGTCAGGTCCTGCTGGCTCAAGCTCAGAATAGCAAAGGTTAGTTCAGACAAGTCTTCCCGGTATCAGTAATTAAGATTTTGCAAATCTGGGCATTGCACACAGCAGTTTTTACTCGGCTGGCAGCGCCTCTAAGGGCTGCATTCCTTTTACCGGTGTCACTTGAAATAGCTCATCTTTCCCTCTTTCCACCCAACTTAAAAGGTGCTAGTCCTGCCTTTTACAGCTTTGTTTCATCCCTTCCTCCAGCAGCAAGAAATCAGACAACAGCGATGAGCTACCTGGATGAAGTTCCCTTCCGGACGGCCAGGAGCCTCGACGGGGACTCAGGGGGAGAAAACACTTTAGTGACCGCCCCGGCCATCGACCTCCCCGACTGCGCCGACATCCTCATGAGCACCATGGTGAGTCGCCTCCGCCTGCATCCACGCCTGGATTCGTTTCTGGGGGGATGCTCAAAGGGATGTCAGTGGTGTTTGCCTTTTCTTGTGAAAGAAGGGAAGGGAAACCTCTCCTCCTAATTGATCTCCTCTTAATTGCCTAGTTCGCAGGAGTGGGAGGAGGTGAGGACGATTTGTGGTGGCTGGGAGTGAGGAAGGGGTAGGTTTGGGGTTGGTTTTTTTTAATCCCATCCAAGCAGGAGGGTTGGGTCTTTCTGGGCTCTGCTCCTTGATTGTTTTCTAGTCTGGAATCATCACCATCTCATTTATTAATAATATTTATTAAATATTTATTAATAAGTCTAACAGAGATGTAAGCAGGCGACACTACCT